TGCTTTTATTTTATTGTTCTTATTCTGCCATTGTTTTACTAAGTGTTTTATCCTATTGTAAAGTGTCCTTGGGTGACTTGAAAGGCGCTCATAAATAAAATTTATTATTATTATTATTATCGCTAACAGCTCCACAGTTTCTGTGCCCGCTGCAACATGTTTTGCATTTAGATGGTACTGTTAGGTTGAAGTGCTTCGGTGGCATGCAAACTCCTTTTTGCACAATTTGCACAAAACCACGCTTTTATCAAGGCTTCCATCGGGTAGTCTTTTGAAATGAAATTAGCCTCTGATCAGTCCTAGCAACGCGTTTTCTTCTGATTGTTCCGTTTTTTTGTAGTTGTGTGCATCAGTGTAATCGGTATACCAGGAAGTCATGCATTGACGTTATTTTTTTCAAATGAATTAATTTCAATTAACACGTTAATTCCCACCCCTAGTTTTAACAATATTCCGAATATTTGTGCTCTATTTATGGTGAATGCTGAGGCTGTTTGAACAGCCCCATTACTGAGGATCAGTCCTGACTGAGTGTGTTGCTTTGTCTGTGTGAAGGTGAGAGCTCTACTATGGAACAGTGTGAGCACAGAGAGGAGGGAATCCCTCCGTCTGAGTCCACTCTGTGTGGGGAACATGAGAGCCAGACCAAAGCTCGGGGGTGAGAGGACCATCTCTGACTGTAAGGACTTTTCTCCAGGTCTGTTCACAGTCATGATCCACACTCAAACATTTGTGTTTTGTTTTCAAGCGCAAAGAAGAGGCCCAGCTCAAACTCTGAACCTGAGCCCGAGCCCAGCTCTGTCTCCATGAGCAGTGATCAGTCCAAGGAACCTCCTCTTGTTTTTAAACGACAGCATTCTTTTGAAAACCAGTGAGTTAGTGTTGTTTTTCTTCATGTTATGTTTTATGATTTAATTAAAATATTAAGTTAATAACGCAACAGGTGAGGATGTAAACTGTTGATTGTTTCTTCCTTAAAAACATCACTTCCAACAGCGACACCAGCTCTTGCATTAGTGATCACTTTGTGTTCGTACCAGGACTCATTATACAAAACAACACCTTTAACAAACTGCACATGTGCTAATGTTGAATGTTTTTGCAGATTTTTGCAGAGCTCAGAGACTCCCAGTGGTCAGTCTGACCCTTGTCATCAAACAAATCTGGACTCCATATTTACGGTGAGAAGATTCAAGAGCACTTTATTTGAAAAATTACGAATAAAAACTGAAACAGACTCAGTGAGCAGCTTAATATATTTGAGCTGATTCAAGTTTACTGGCATACATATTGTAATTATTGTCCACACTGCTCTCGTAAATGGATCTTCACATGGATCTCATTTTCCTTCTGTCACTTTGAAAGCCAAGTCTGTGCCTCTCTGTTCCAGCTGCTGGAGGAAAACATTGTCCGCTTTGTGAAGAATGAGCTGAAGAAGATCAAGAAAGTCCTGAATCCAAATTGCTCACAGTACTCAGAGAGTCAGGAGGAAGAAGATGTGTTGGAGGGTGAGGATGAAGATCAAATGAAGTGCAACCAAGACTCATTTATAAAGATCACGCTGCACTTCCTGAGGAGACTGAAGCAGGAGGAGCTGGCTGACCGTCTGCAGAGCAGTGAGATGATTTTAACAACTTAAACATGGTGGAAAGAACAAAGAAAAGAAGTTCTGACTTCCAAACCTAACATTACACAACATTACATTAGCTTATGTTCATATTTCATGTTCATAGTTCACCACTTGAATGCCTTTATACAACCCCAATTCAAATGAAGTTGGAACTTTGTGTAACATGTAAATAAAACCAATACAATGATTTGCAAATCCTTTTAAACCTACATTTAATTGAGTACACTACAAAGACAAGATCTAATGTTCAAACTCAAACTTTGTTGTTTTGCAAATCTTTAACTCATTTTGAGTTTGATGCCTGCAAAACACGTTCCACAAAAGTTGGGACGGGGGCATGCTGACCACTGGGTTATATCACCGTTCCTTTTAACAATACTCAATAAGCATTTGGGAACTGAGGACACTAACTGTTGAAGCTGTGTAGGTGGAATTCTTTCCCATTCTTGCTTGATGTACAACAGTTGCTCAACAGTCCAGGTCTATGTTGTCGTGTTTTGGGCTTCATAATGTGCTACACATTTTCAATGAGAGACAGGTCTGGACTGCTGGGAGGTCACTCTTTTAATACGAAGCCACGCTGTTGTAACACATGCAGAATGTGGCTTCGGATAGTCCTGCTGAAGCAAGCAGGGACGTCGCTGAAAAAGTTGTCCCTTGGATGGCAGAATACGTTGCTCCAAAACCTGTATGTACCTTTAAGCATTAATGGTACCTTCACATATGTGATCAAACTTGACTATCTAGAGGAAGTAAAAGTCGTAACAAGGTTTCCGTAGGTGAACCTGCGGAAGGATCATTACTGGCTTATGTCGTGGGTACTAACACACCCATATACCATCACAGATACTGGCTTTTGAACTTTTCATTGATAACAATGCAGATGGTCCTTTTCCTCTTTGGCCCGAAGGACACTATGTCCATGAGTTCCCAAAACAGTTTGAAACGTGGACTCGTCAGACCACGCCACAGTTTTCCACTTCGTTTGCTAGATCCGCATTAAAACACTTTTTTTTTCTCCTTTGTTTTTTTTCTGTATCATGAATTTGATGATAACCTACTTATGGGATATAATAAAAGAAATTATATTATATTGGAATAAAACAAACATTGCCTTTACTATGAATAAACATTTGGACTGCATATACAACAAATCTTACTGCAATAAAAGCTGTCCAAACGTTTTCTTATATGTTCTACTTGAAGCTTTTAGTGCCTGATATGCGGTGTGGCTGTTACGGGGTGTCTTGTTGCTGCTCTTGCTGTATCTAACTTTTCATGTATGCACAAGAAAATTTAAAAAAAGCTTTGATGTTGCAGGTTTTAAAATTCTGGTCTTTCACAAACATGCATATACGCTAGAAAAATGATCAAAACTGTGATATGTTTCTTATTTGTTCATTTAGGAAATCCTGATGCTGCAGAGTTTCGCCAAAAACACAAGACTCGCCTAAAGAGGAAGTTCCAGTGTGTGTTTGAGGGGATCGCTAAAGCAGGAAACCCAACCCTTCTGAATCAGATCTACACAGAGCTCTACATCACAGAGGGAGGGACTGCAGAGGTCAATGATGAACATGAGGTCAGACAGATTGAAACAGCATCCAGGAAACCAAACAGACCAGAAACGATAATCAGACAAGAAGACATCTTTACAGTCTCACCTGGAAGAGATGAACCAATCAGAACAGTGGTGACAAAGGGAGTGGCTGGCATTGGGAAAACAGTCCTAACACAGAAGTTCACTCTGGACTGGGCTGAAGACAAAGCCAACCAGGACATCAAGTTCATGTTTCCATTCACTTTCAGAGAGCTGAATGTGCTGAAAAAGGAAAAGTTCAGCTTGGTGGAACTTGTTCATCACTTCTTTACTGAAACCAAAGAAGCAGGAATCTGCAGCTTTGAAGACCTCCAGGTTGTGTTCATCTTTGATGGTCTGGATGAGTGTCGACTTCCTCTGGACTTCCACAAAACTACAATTTTGACTGATGTTACAGAGTCCACCTCAGTGGATGTGCTGCTGATAAACCTCATCAGGGGGAAACTGCTTCCTTCTGCCCTCATCTGGATAACCACACGACCTGCAGCGGCCAATCAGATCCCTCCTTCATGTGTTGACATGGTGACAGAGGTCAGAGGGTTCACTAACCCACAGAAGGAGGAGTATTTCAGGAAGAGATTCAGAGATAAGAAGCAGGCCAGCAGGATCTTCTCCCACATCAAGTCATCACGAAGCCTCCACATCATGTGCCACATCCCAGTTTTCTGCTGGATCACTGCTACAGTTCTGGAGGATGTGCTGAAAACCAGTGAGGAAGGTGAGTTGCCCAAGACCCTGACTGAGATGTACATCCACTTCCTGGTGCTTCAAACCAAAGTGAAGATGGTCAAGTATGATGGAGGAGCTGAGACAGATCCACACTGGAGTCTAGAGAGCAGGAAGATGATTGAATCTCTGGGAAAACTGGCTTTTGATCAGCTGCAGAAAGGAAATCTGATCTTCTATGAATCAGACCTGACAGAGTGTGATATTGACATCAGAGCAGCCTCATTGTACTCAGGAGTGTTCACACAGATCTTTAAAGAAGAGAGAGGACTGTACCAGGACAAGGCGTTCTGCTTCATCCATCTGAGTGTTCAGGAGTTTCTGGCTGCTCTTCATGTCCATCTGACCTTCATCAACTCTGGAGTCAACCTGCTGGAAGATCAACAGGCAACATCTTATTTGCCTGAAATGTTTACAGAAATACATGAACTAAAATATCTCTTACAGAGTGCTGTGGATAAGGCCTTGGAGAGTCCAAATGGACACCTGGACTTGTTCCTCCGCTTCCTCCTGGGTCTTTCACTGCAGACCAATCAGACTCTCCTACGAGGCTTGCTGACACAGACGGGAAGTAACTCACAGGACACAGCCCAGTACATCAAGAAGATGATCAGTGAGAATCTTTCTGCAGAGAAAAGCATTAATCTGTTCCATTGTCTGAATGAACTGAACGATCGTTCTCTAGTGGAGGAGATCCAACAGTCCATAAGATCTGGTAGTCTTTCTACAAATGAACTGTCTCCATCTCAGTGGTCAGCTGTGGTCTTCATCTTACTGTCATCAGAAGAAGATCTGGATGGATTTGACCTGAAAAAATACTCTTCTTCAGAGGAGGCTCTTCTGAGGCTGCTGCCAGTGGTCAAAGCCTCCAACAAAGCTCTGTGAGTACAAGACATCTACAAACCCATGTATAGAAATGTTTGTGCAGTATAAAGTAGAAATAAAAGAAAACCTAAACACAGAATTATTACAATAGTCATTGAAAATGGTACTAATATTAAAATCACTGTTTGAAAGGTTTTCATTTTGTATTTAATATCAGTAACGCATCAAGGCAAAAAACAAAAGAAAAAAAAAGACTGGGCAATCTAAAACCTAAAACGACTAATGTTCTTTTTATGCAGGGTATTAAAAGAGCATGACAAATAAACTGAAACTTTTTAAAATAAAAACTGGGGAGGACAAATAGTTCAATAATTTAAAAATCTTTCTCATTGCATAACTGCAGATAATTTGGAAATTTAATTGTTCACAGAATCCAGTGAAATGCAGGAAACAAGGATCATCTAAGCAAAAGAACCTTTTGTTAAAATAAATCATTGCAGGGTCTCACAGACACTTTAAAGAACATTGTCGTCTTAAATAAATGCAAATCAAAGTGTTCTATAAACATGTTCTTATGTTCAAAAATGATTTAAATTAAACTGAGATCCCCATAAATATGGTAAGATAAGATATGATGTAAAACAGATGGATAGATTGTTTACTGCTCAATTTCCCTCAGTTTAAACAGGTGACATATTGCCTTTGTATACATTTCAATAAAAAGTCGGAGTTTAATTATTTGCAAATGACCCTTTTAACTTTACCTATGTTCCATGAAGAGGTTTGAACTGCATGTGTTATTCGTCCATTGAAAAACCCCTGGCAGTCAAGGTGCCATACAAAGTGGCCTTACAGTTCAATGTCTTGTCCAAGACAGATCGAAGAAATATTGGATCAAACCACTAATCCTGTGATCAGTGGACATTCAATTCTACTATCTGAGCAATAGCCATTTTTTTTGGCTTTCATTCTTAAATCTTTCTCAGGCTCAGCTGTTGTAATCTCTCAGAAAGAAGCTGTAAAGCTTTGTCATCAGTTCTCCGCTCCCAGTCCTGTAGGCTGACTGAGCTAGACCTGAGTAACAACAAACTGCAGGATTTAGGAGCGAAGCAGCTGTGTACTGGGCTGGAAAATCCACATTGCAAACTGAAAATTCTCAGGTCAGATTACAACTAATTTTGGATCAATTAAAGCCTGTTTTCTGTTTATGTCACTTAATTTTTATTAATATTTACATTTTGTGTTAATATCGTCTAAACCAGGCTCTCAGGTTGTATGATCACAGCGGAAGGTTGTGTTGCTTTGGCCTCAGCTATGAGGGGCAACCCCTACCATCTGACAGAGTTGGACCTGAGCTACAACCATCTAGGAGACTTTGGAGTGAGGCTGCTATCGGCTAGACTGAGAGACCCGCTCTCCACACTTGAAACTCTCAGGTAATGAACACACAAAGTATTTTCCCTTGAGTGACAAATGTCCCCAGTGAATGAGTAGACTCATCAACATATTTTGCATCACACCACACTAGGAAGCACAGGCTGTGGAGGAGGAGAGGCCGCAATCTTCATTTCTAGCTTATTGAATTAACCATACATCTGGACAGTTATTTGGTAATTCCCCTTGGATTCTGTTTATCTCAATAAGCTCTTTTATCTAGCGCTTGTTGAAACCTTTCATTTTATAAAAGGCTTTGTGAAGTTTTCTGATACCCTCTGTTTTCTCGAGCTATGAAAAGTTTCCCAAATATAAAAGCTGTCCATTTATCTTTTTTTTTTTAAAATAAATTAAAAACTCAAAGCAATACTATATAAATGACTATATTAAATTAAACATTGTACAGTTCATGTTCAACATTTAATACGCGTTGAAAGTTGGATAGACAATCATTGTTTTTGCATTTTGTTCTCCAGGGTGGACCATAGTGGTGAACAGTGGTTAAAACCTGGTCTGAGGAAGTGTAAGTTTGACTAATGATGTGAAACTTTCTAATTAAATCCAAATCATTATCATTAAACTTTCTACAAATGACAGCATATCAGTAATTACAGAATAAAGCCATTAGATGTGTAAGATAAAAACTGTGCCCTCTTGTAAACTTTTTATTTATTCTTGCCTTCAGATGTCTGTGATCTTGAACTGGACACAAACTCAATAAACATAAACCTTAAACTTTCTGAAGACAACAAGATGGTGACAGTTGTGGAGGAGGAGCAACCATATCCTGATCATCCAGACAGATTTGGTTGGTGGCAGCTGCTGTGTAGAAACGGTCTGACTGGTTGTTGTTACTGGGAGGTTGAATGGAAAGGAAGAGTTCACATATCTATTAGTTACAGAGGAATCAGAAGGAGAGGACACAGAACTGACTGCAGGTTTGGAGAGAATGATCGGTCATGGAGTCTGAGCTGCTCTGATACTGTTGGTTACTCCGTCTGGCACAATAACACAGTTACAACCATCTCCTTCTCCTCGCCCTCCTTATCCTCCATGTCTAACAGAGTAGCAGTGTACGTGGACTGTCCTGCTGGGACTCTGTCGTTCTACAGAGTCTCCTCTGACACTCTGATCCACCTCCACACAGTCAACACAACATTCACTGAACCTGTGTATCCTGGGTTTGGATTCTGGTCTTATGGTTCCACATTGTCTCTGTGTTCTTTGAAGAATGAAGAAGAAGAAAACCCTTTGGACATTTAGACACAATCTCAAAGTCTGTAATAGAAATGTCAAACATTCAAATCATTGATTGTGATTTAATGCTGTCTTATAAGCAGAAGTAGCTGAACAAATGTTTTTACAGATTTGGTATCAGGACACCAAATATATAAAGCCGTGAAGGTTAATAGTTAAACTGAGTTTTTTAAATTTATTATTCTGCTTTTTTTTTTGTGTCAAACACATTTGGTTTACCAAGAGGAGAGACATAGACTCTCTACAGGATCCTCTTGTTACTTTCTTAAATTTAGATATGCATTTATTTTATTGTATTACTCATAATATTATCTGTGTCGTTATGATAGGGCTGATGGGCTGATTTTTAAAAATTAAACATGTGCTGCACATGAATAGTGCAAATAAAAGACTGAATCTTTTTAATGACTTGCTTCTGTAAATAAAAAAAGACAAAATGTTAAAACCCGTCTAAAACACGACCGCTGACATGAACACAGTAGGAGTTTAGAGGAAGAAACAGGTTTGATGTATCGCCATCATCAACTACCCTGTTGGCAAGTCTGATGGAACTTTTTTACACCTGCTCTTAAGTTAACCACATACCTTCAGCAGGATGACCAGTGGGATACAGGAGAACCACAACTGCCCTTCTTTAATGGCTACTTTAGGCTGGTAGTGGATACCACTACTGGGAGGCAAGGTACCTTCAGTGTTTGCTTATTTGCAGAAGGATCACAACAGCACCCTTCTTGCAGGTTTCCTGTTTATCTGGGCTTGACACTGCCTGTAAGTACACTTGAGTGACCCAGTGAGGCTGGGTTTGTGTCTCCTTCCAGAATAAAACTGAGACTCTTTTACGGTACTCTCAGAGCACAACAGAGAATTGATAAGTTGATATCAATAAGTTCTTATCAATTCCCAACTGCAAATTCAGAGAGTTATGATCTGACATAAAGATTTATACAGTTAATGTTTAATGAGTTTAAAGAGTTCAAGGGTCATCATGTGACTGTTAGTGCAGCTCTGTTATCAGATTTCCTTAAGGCAGCCCCTGAATTTGAAGAGTTAAGAGCTAACACACTTAAAAACCTTGAATGGTGTGAGTTACATGTTTATCCTCTTTGGTCAGTCTCATTGTTGGATGAATAATTTGACTTTCTCTTATTTCCACCATCCAAAAGTAAACCTAATCTTAAATCATTTTAGTGTGAGTGGGTGTTGCTGTTAAACAGCTCTTATAAAAGTTGAGCTAGTAGAAAATATTGTGTTATCTTGTTGAGTTTTATTGTTATGTTCAGGTAGAATATCTGAAATTATTTTTGAACATTACAAAAACCAATTGAGGAGTTCTCATATCATTAAACCATTACAGATTTTCTATTTTCGCTCTCTTTAAATGTTTAATTTGTGAATTAATTCTTCTTTTGTCTTATTGCTCTTCTAATTATGCAGCGCTTCCTCAGATGTGTCTTCGGGGGTTCAGATTTCTTGGATTTAAAAATTCTACTTTGCTTCCACTGCAGTTAGACTCCTGTTTATGTCACATTTTAGTTTTTTCAATATGTAAACCTGTGGAGGTACCTGAGACCTTTTATGATCCATCCAGCTGAGTACTTTGGTTTTCTGGCTATGGGGTTTTGTATGATTGCATTTGTGCTTTCGAGATTAAGGAGTTTAAAACAGCTCATACAATGAATCAGATTCAGTAAAAGGACTAGATATTACAATCCCTGATATTGCACTACTTTAAATGGAGAAAATCTTGAGGGATGGCTTTTATGAGGAAAGGCAGCCCCTCAACTTTTGGTCTTTTAACCAAGCTAATCTGCCATTTTTCTTTGGTTAGGTTTAGGGATTAGAGATCAGGGCCCTATTTCAGGAAGCCGGTTTAGTGCAAACTCTTTTTTTTTTGCCTGTCCCGTTTGGCTCTTTTGCCATCAGAATTGTTGTCTAAAGGCAAAGAAAGATGCCCAACGGATTTACTTTACCAAATTGACCA